ATATTTTTATTGATTTCAGAGATGAAGGGAGAGAGAGAGACAGAAACACCAATGATGAGAAAGAATCATTAATCCACTACCTCCTACACACCCCACACTGGGGATGGAGCCTGCAACTGGGCATGTGCCCTGACCAGGAATTGAACGGTGAACTCCTGGTTCATAGGCCTATGTTCAACCACTGAGGATATTTTTCCATTGATTTTTAGAGAGAGTGGAAGAGAGAGGGAAAGACAGAAACATTGATATGAGAGAAACACATCAATTGGTTGCCTCCTGCACTCGCCCTGACCAGGGCCCTGGGCTGAGGAGGAGCCTGCAACTGAAGCACGTGCCCTTGACTGGAACTGAACCTGGGACCCTTTGTTCTGCAGGTCAACACTCTATCCACTGAGCCAAACTGGCTAGGGCGGAATTTATCCATCTCTTCCAGATTGTCCAATTTGTTGGCATTTGATTGTTCACAATATTTTCTTACAATCCTTTGTATTTCTTTGGTGTCAGTTGTTACTAGTACTCTCTTTCATATCTGATTTTATTTATTTCAGGCCTCTTTTTTTCTTGATGAGTCTGGTTAAAGGTTTGCCAATCTTGTTTATCTTTTCAAAGAACCAGCTCTTGGTTTCATTGATCTTTTGTATAGTATTGCTTTTTAGACTATATTTCATTTATTTCTGTTCTGATCTTTATTATTTCCTTCCTTCTGCTCACTGTGGGCTTTGTTTATTGTTCTTTTTCAAGCTCCTTTAAGTATAAAACTACATTGTTTCTTTGAGCTTTTTCTTGTTTCTTCAGGTAGGCCTGTCAGGCTATGAAGTTTCCTCTTACGACTGCTTTCCCTCTGTCCGGCAGATTTTGGGTTGTTGTGTTCATTGGTTGCAAGGTATTTTTTGATTTCTTCCTTGATCTCATTGTGAACCCATTCATTGTTTAGTATCATATTGTTCAGCGTCCATGTTAGGGAAAGACAGAAACATTGATATGAGAGAAACACATCGACTTGTTGCCTCCTGCACTCTTTCTGACCAGGGCCCTGGGCTGGGGAGGAGTCTGCAACCGAAGTACATGCCCTTGACTGGAACTGAACCTGGGACCCTTTGTTCTGCAGGTCGACACTCTATCCACTGAGCCAAACTGGCTAGGGCAGAATTATCCATCTTTTTAAAAACTAATTTATCTTATTTTCCATACAAGTTGTTCACAATATTTTCTTACAATCCTTTGTATTTCTTTGGTGTCAGTTGTTACTTCTCTTTCATATCTGATTTTATTTATTTGGGGCCTCTCTCTCTTTTCCTTGATGAATCTGGTTAAAGGTTTGCCAATCTTGTTTATCTTTTCAAAGAACCAGCTCTTGGTTTCATTGATCTTTTGTATTGCTTTTTAGACTATATTTAATTTATTTCTGTTCTGATCTTTATTTCCTTCCTTCTACTCACTATGGGCTTTGTTGTTCTTTCTCAAGTTCCTTTAAGTATAAAACTACATTGTTTCTTTGAGCTTTTTCTTGTTTCTTGAGGTGTCAGGGAAAACAAAACCCATGTATATACCTGTCAGGCTATGAAGTTTCCTCTTACGACTGCTTTCCCTCTGTCCGGCAGATTTTGGGTTGTTGTGTTCATTGGTTGCAAGGTATTTTTTGATTTCTTCCTTGATCTCATTGTGAACCCATTCATTGTTTAGTATCATATTGTTCAGCGTCCATGTTTTTGTGCTTTTCAGTTTTCTTGTGATTGATTTCAAGTTTCATAGCATTATCGTCAGAGGAAGATGCTTTATATGATTTCAATCTTAAATTTACTGAGACTTGTTTTGTGTCCTAACATGTGGTCTATCCTAGAAAAAATTCCATGTGCATTTGAAAAGAATGCATAGTCATCTGCTTTGGGGTGGAATGCTCTGAAGATATCAATTAAATCCATTTGATCCAGTGTGTCATTTAAGGCCACCATCTCTTTGTTGGTTTTTCTGTCTGGAAGATATATACATTGATGTTAATGGGGTGTTAAAATCTCCTACTAGAACTGTATTACTGTCAGTCTCTCCCTTTATGTTGATCAAGATTTGCTTTACAGATTTAGGTGCTTCTATGTTGGGTGCATAAATGTTTACAAGGGTCATCTTCTCTTGTTGGATTGATAAAACTACATTGTTTCTTTGAGCTTTTTCTTGTTTCTTGAGGTGTCAGGGAAAACAAAACCCATGTATATACCTGTCAGGCTATGAAGTTTCCTCTTACGACTGCTTTCCCTCTGTCCGTCAGATTTTGGGTTGTTGTGTTCATTGGTTTCAAGGTATTTTTTGATTTCTTCCTTGATCTCATTGTTAACCCATTCATTGTTTAGTAACATATTGTTCAGCGTCCTTGTCTTTGTGCTTTTCAGTTTTCTTGTGATTGATTTCAAGTTTCATAGCATTATCGTCAGAGGAAGATGCTTTATATGATTTCAATCTTAAATTTACTGAGACTTGTTTTGTGTCCTAACATGTGGTCTATCCTAGAAAAAATTCCATGTGCATTTGAAAAGAATGCATAGTCATCTGCTTTGGGGTGGAATGCTCTGAAGATATCAATTAAATCCATTTGATCCAGTGTGTCATTTAAGGCCACCATCTCTTTGTTGGTTTTTCTGTCTGGAAGATATATACATTGATGTCAATGGGGTGTTAAAATCTCCTACTAGAACTGTATTACTGTCAGTCTCTCCCTTTATGTTCATCAAGATTTGCTTTACAGATTTAGGTGCTTCTATGTTGGGTGCATAAATGTTTACAAGGGTCATCTTCTCTTGTTGGATTGATCCCTTTATCATTATGTACTGACTAGAGGCCCGATGCATGAAACTTGTGCAAGAGTAGGCCTGCCTTCCTCCGGCTGCCGGCACCGGCTTCCTTCTGGCACCTGGGACCCGGGCTTCCCTCCGTCCGCCAGCAGGCACCTGGGACCTGGGCAGTCCTGGCTTCATCCGGAAGGTTGTCCAGTCTAATTAGCATATTATGCTTTTATTATTATTATAAATACACTATAGCTTTGGTTT